TTTTTTTTTTTTTTTTTTTCTTTAAACGGAGCTCCATTCTGGAGTTTCCAATTATGTCTACATGCCACATCTAACGGCCTTCCTATAATTCTACAAACATTTAGCTATAAACTAAAGAAGCGGACAGTGCATCACTTTGGCTTTATTCATAAAACAACAAGATGTCAAACAGCGCAGGGCGTGTTACTGTTAGGAAGTCTGGCTCTGTGTTAGCAGGGCGCAGCTAGGCTAAATGACCGAACCAAGCTAGCAATATTTGGGGTCTGAAAACTTCCACAACACCAGTAACCAGAGAGCCCGGGGGCTAACGACGAGCCCACCGAGTGAAAACCCAGTGGGGGGTTCGCTCAGGTGAATTTCTAATATGTTGACGGGTCCTATTTTGAGTCAGGACCGTACAAGGAGCCCCCCGTTAGAGATTCGCAAACGAGCGGAAGTTGAGCTAAAAATAATAAAGCAGAAGCAGCAGCAGCGGCTCTGTTGCGGGCCCGGGTTTCTTCTCCAAATTCCATCACGCCGACCGACGCCACAGTTCGCACAAAAAGTTGCCAAGAAACGCAAGTCAAACTTGTAACCCAAGCGTTTTCTCTGCGAGCATTAACCTGCTTTTTATCAGAATATTACCTTTTCCTCGTCGGATAGCTGCTCCTCATGATCCGCCATCTTTTCTTCCGGCACCACCAGCTTGTCAGAGCCCCGTGACGTCAGCGCATGGGTGGCTTCCCAGCTGAGCCTCAGCGCTCATCAGGTCCACACCTCACAAGTTTAACACCAAATACAAACATTTCAACAGCCCTCAGCCTTTCCATGCTCTGAAAAATCAAATAGCCACAATTTAATTTAAATAATGTTATCTTATGCATATACACCACGACATTATATTTATATGTTATACTTAGTGTTTTTTATTTATTTTTATTTTTATTTATTTATTTTTTAAAATAAAATAGGTCTAGTCCTTGCCCTGAGACAGACTGGCGACCTGTCCAGGGTGACCCCGCCTCTCGCCCGGAACGTTAGCTGGAGAGGCACCAGCAACCCTCCCGACCCCACTAAGGGACAAGGGTGTAGAGAAAATGGATGGATGGAAGGTCTAGTCCTTATTGTTTTAACTGCTCTCCTTCCTTTTTTTTATGCAATACTCTTCTGGTTTCTGCATACATAAAGAGATAATGATAAGAGATAGTGACTCTGCTTTGGTAAATTCCTAACAGAACTGGGATCTGTAAACATCAAAACTTTAACATCGAAACTTTATTTATTTATTTCAAACACAGGCAATGAAAAGTAAAAAGTAAAACCAGAATAGAAAAATAATAAAGAGACAAATAGTCGTACACAAATTGTTCGAAAAGGAGCAGGTGAGAAGATAAACCATTATATGACTGCCTGCCCTTCTGGTATATTTAAGTCTCCCCTCCTAGTTAAACTCTTAAAGTAATCTCACATTAAATGAAATCTATAAGCTATTTATTTCCTCACAGTATAAAAAAAGTCGATGTGACTGTCTTTTTTGTCATCAATTTGTAAACAGTAAAAGAGCCCGTAATATAGAGATCCTGCCTCGTTGTGTGTGCTACACTGTTCACCGCTAGGTGGCAAACTAACACTGTTTTAAAATATCTCTTCAAGCTTCACGGTTTCGTCTTATCTTGCTCTTGGTGAAACGCTTACTGAGGCTGGGATTGGTCCTTTATTGCCAGAAGCAACTTTTTGAAACATGCGACAATAATGACATTTTTATGACTTGTGTTTTTTGCAGCTGAACTAAAAATGACCATCATGGTATCATTTAAATTCCCCTACAAAAGTATTTTTACCCCTTGAATTTTTCTTACTTTTTACAAGGCCTTGGAAGCATTCGTGTGGTTGCATAAAACTTTTATTTTCTTTCCATTTCACAGTCTTGCACTACTTGGTTTGCTAAATAAAATTCTCATTAAACAGTGAACGTAACATGATAAAAAAAGAGAAAAGGTTTAAGTGGCTAGAATATATTTGCAAGGCTATTATAAAGAACGATTAGCATTTAGATGAAAAATTCAGATTAATTGTAAATTCCATTGTGGTTTTTGAAACAGTGAAGTTACAACTTTATGACAAAGTTGCAGCAAGCTGTTTGCTTAAGAGGGCCACTGTTGCTTAATTAGTTTGAGCTTCAGCAATATGAGCAATAAAACTATGAGCTGTCCCTATAATCTGACTTAAGGAGATCCAATGGCAAGTGGTTAGTTAGCATAAAACATTTCCAAATGACAGTATTTATAAAGTGATTGCTTAAGCTCACTCCACATAGCTGTTTCAAATCTCCTCTCTGCCTCAGCCTCCAAGGCAGAAGCTTGTCAGTCAGCTGGAAGGAAAAGTTATTCACGTGAAGCGAAATCCAGGTGTGTGTCCGTTTGGTCGGGTCCTTTCAGTTGGAAGCCGTTGTTGCCTCTTCATAACCCCACTATTACAAGGAAGAAATTGCTTTGATCGCAAAGATTGTCCCTGGTTGGTTTGAAACTACCTCCTTCTAGCCACTAAGTCAGTTTTGCATTATTACTAAAAGTGGGCCATGCAGCCCTGCTGTATTTCCAAAACGATGACCCATGTGAGATCAAATGGAGGGATTAAATAATAACCCTTTAATCTGCCCAGTGGCATCCACCTGCAGTGGAGCCTTTCATGGGATATCGGAGCTACTCATCCCCTCTGGCAACCAAAGGGAGCGCTGGGAATACATTTACTCTACTCTGTGACTCACTTTGCCACCAGTTAGTCACCCTGGATACTCATTACAGAGTTCGCTCTTAAACAATACCTGCCCAGCAGCCTGAAAAGACACAAAAGCAGCAGAGCATTATGGGTTCAGAATGATGAAAGTTTTATAGACTAAGAGAGGCCCGACTTTGTATCATCCTGACCATGGGACGTTGAGTGATTGTGTCGTTTTCTCTGTTCTTTCAGTTCTGCAAGAGAGAGAAAAAAATGCCATCTTGGCAGTGGATTAAAGCCCAGACTGTATTTCCACATACCCTGACAATGTCTTGTGTGGTATAATAACCTTGGTGTTGAAAGCTGAAATGAATGCATGCAACAAGATGTACAATAGAGACACAGGTTTGTAAGACAAACTGTGATATACGTTGCCTGCAGGAGTATTAAAGGGGCAGTAGTATGTATTTTCTAGGCACATAATGCTGTTTATCACAATCAAGTAATTATGTTTCTTTTAGTTGCTATAAAATGCTATATAGATCAAATATGACTTAAATGAAATTTGACATTGTAAATTAACACCTTGAAATTGGGTCTCTGTCTCTTTCTGAAACTCCGCCTTCAGAAAGTCATCACAAAATGGCTCCCGTTTAACAAAGTTTTTACCAGCATTGAATTGAGAAGCAGCTCCAGCAGATGGGCTGTTCCTTCAAGTGTTTGCTAATTGCTCCAGCTAATCAAAGGAGCTGAATGGGGGAGGTTAGGAGGAGGGCTGCTCTGTGAGGTGGACTCTAGGAAACTGCAGTTCAGAGGAGGAGCTGTGTCTCAAAGGCGGAGCTAGGTTCACCTAGGCGTTTTGTGCAGTTAAATGGTTGTCATGGAGATTAAACATGCATGAAAAAATCAAAGTAACACTCAGAGTATGTTTTTGATAGGAGAATAACATTACAACATGATATAAAGTAAAAAAAAAAGTTGATTTCAAGTAATATTCCCCCTTTAATATCCAGAAGTCTCTTGCTTGAGGTGGCAGCATGTTGGAGTTGCTCTGCTACATTTTGATTGGTTGTTTGTTTGGTTGAAGCATTGCCTTTCTTGAAAGACAAATATTTTGCTCTTAATTTTTTACCTTTGGGCAGTTGTTACGATAACTTTGTGGATATAGAGCAGGACCAAAAGTAGAGAGAGAAGGAAGACGTTCATACCTTTCTTTGATCATAATGTGCAACCATCATATCCCCAACTCCAACATCTCTCTGCCCAGCTTTAGAACCAAACGGTTGACAGAAATTCATGGAGGGGTGGCTAAAGCAAATTAGATGTATTAGCAATGCTTGCAAACAACTAATGGTGTTATCCAAGACATGTTGTAGAATATTGTCTCTGCAGCTCAGATACTGAACTGCTAGAATGGCAAACATTGAGAGAATCTGCAGAATCAAGACTGACTTCTACTGGAGATCCTTCCTGTCCACAGCGTTAGAGCAGAACGACTCTTTGAAGACACTTACATGATTTCAGTTATGCTTGTTTAAAGACTCCAGTGCTTTTTTTTTTTTTTTTTTTTTTTTTTTAACGGTGTGACTTTACAAGCTGAATTTTTTTTATTCAGATTGAATGAAAACATCAGTGAAGGTCAATTTTCACATCTTGCCTCAGATTGTCAATTAGGTTTAGGCTTGACCTTTGACTTGGCCTTTTCATCCCTAAGTAGGACTTGATCTGTTGGTGTTCCTAGAAAACATTTTGAATGTCGGCCAAGGAGTTCAGTTTTGCTTTTGCTGCAACTATATGTGACTTTTCTGACTAAAGGTTTATTCCAACAGTTTCTCTCTTTTTTCTTTCCTCTTTTCTTTCCTTTGTCTGGTTCTCATCGTTGTCGAATCAACAGGTTTCCAGCTGTCCTTCCCTCTTACAAGATAACATGGATCATAAAACAAGAACCATAGTTAAAGGCATTGACTGCCAAATTAAATCCCTTGTTAATATTATTCAAATAAAACTAATTATGCTTAACATTTAATATAATAACTGTTGTCCACAATTATTCAAGTTGTGAACATTTAAGACTCTTAAGTTTCTGAGTGCATTACACGAACCGCCTTTAGAAGTTTATGTGCAACACTCTGTTACAGCAGCTCTATGTGTTTTTAACAAGTTCCTTTGGTGTAAGAGACATTTTAACTTGCCACAGCTCCCCACCCCTCCGCATCTCTTTCTCTGTGTGAGAGTTTTATGTTTCTTTCTTTCATGACCGAGGTTGGAGCCGCTCTCACTGGGTCCAAAAATGATTGCTTAGATCTGAAGCAAACAACCCCCCCTGCACCCCAGCCCCCCAACCACGGCTCCCACTCTGCACTGGTCTGGACCACCAAATGTGTTCCAAACAAGGAGAACCAGTGAACCAGGAATACCTGATGCTCTTGGGAAACGGCTCATATTTACATTTCATGCAGTGCAGTAGCTCCTGTAGGTCAGATTGTGGAAAGCAGTTTAGTGTGGTGCAGATAAAAGCAGAGGGTGTGTTCATAGGGATCGGAGGAATTAGTCTTAAGCCACTCATAGAGGTTTGTGTTCAATTTTGATCTTGTCTGACAAGGGCTCCTCTCTTCCACATGATTTAACATGCCATCTACTGAGCGTGTAGTTTCTCTATTTGTCTGCTGGTTTAGGTCAGTGGTGTCCAAAGTGCTGCCTGGGGGCTGTTTGTGGCCATTGGAACGATTTTGTGTGTCTCCCCACCTTAGATAAAGAAGCGAGGAGCCAGTAAAAAAAGAAAACAAAATGCAATTCTTCTTAAATGGAAAGTGTTGGTCACAAAGTATTTTTGATTTTATTAGCCTTGCTTTCTTCTTGCTTTAATAATTTTATTGTACATACGGTCATAAACTCTGTCTGTTTACTCAAAAGCAGATGAAGGCACGCCCGTTCATTAAAGATGGCTAAACGAAGCAAGTTTTTTATTTATATTTTACTTTTTTGTTTTGAAGAAGAAAGTTCACATTTTTGTTGTTGGGAACAAACTAAAAGATTTTCCAGACCAACAAAAACAAAAAAGCGTCAATCAGAAGCTTAGGAAACTCGACATCTTTCTTTTATGGATGAAAAAAAAAAAACTTTCAAAAATGAACAGCTTTCTTTAAAATTATTATTTTTTTTTTATTTGTAGCGGATTCAAAACAGATTTGCTTTGTGTTTTAAGTTGGAAACAAATATGGCCTCGGAAGTGGTTTGAACTTGAGATTTTAACCCATGTTGCAAAAAGTTTGCACACCCCAGGTTTAGGTGGACACCCCAGGTTCAGGTGGACACCCCAGGTTCAGGTGGACACCCCAGTCTTGGTAGGTTTGCAGCTCTGTCTTTACATTTTCCGTTACAGCTATATTTGTACTAATTAGACTAAGGCAACTTTTTCATGCAAAAGGTCGCATTGAATTTTATTTATGGGCGTTAGAGTTAATGGAGCTCAACATATACATATACCATACACAGATTTTTATTTAAAAAAACAAAAAAACAAAACAAGTATCCCTCCATTTTGCATTGATTGCATTACTTTGTTTTCCTTTGATGCATAAAATCCTGATAAAATACATTAATGTTAGTGGTTGAAATTGAAACATGTTGAAGCAGTGTGAATACTTTTGCAATGCATCTTTAAAATCTAACTTTCCCTGTTGGCCAATGTAAGTAGTTCAGGGTTCAAGAATGCTTTGAAGAACAGGAGAGTTAACCTACTAGCAAATTCCCTCTTAAATATATTTAAATATATGTCAATTATAGGAAAAACTTCAGACTTCAGATTGATACACACATCCAGCCTCAGATAAGTTCAATAGCAACATTGTGTCACAACATTGCTGCATCTCCTGACATTAACAGGTTTATCACCGCTGCAAATTGTTCAAAAAAATTCAAAACTCAGACGTTCGTTATATTTTACAGGCTGTAAAACGCTGCAGGTCGTATGTTGATGCTGCAGCTGGACTCATGACAAATACTTCAAAGTTAGCATCACCTTCTTTCATGTGGTCCTCTGATTCCATTGGTCTATAGCCAAAAACCTGACTGTGGTTTTCATCTGTTTTAGGGTCATTTTGATGTGTTGAATCCAGAAATCACATTGGTTTTGCTCAGTCAGGTCAACTTTCTGAACCATGGAGCAACATGAGCATCAAATGCTTGACTTGTTCTCACATCTGGATCGGTTTCCTGAGAATCTGATCAATGAGTGATGAGGAGAGATTCCATCAGGACAGAAAAGAGACAGAGAATTTTACACAATGAAGACGTGATGATCAATTCTTACCCTTATTAGTGTTTATTATTCAATTTACAGAAATACAACTTTGTAACATTTCATTAATACACTCTGTTAGCAAACCTTTTTTTATCCTAAAACAGTTTTTGGATGAGACATACTAACGGAAATAAACTGTAAATGTCATAAGAATGTTGTTAATTTAGTCCAAAGATCAGATTTTTCTAAATAAAATTAGAATAAAATCCTGATTGAGAAAAATGGATGTCACCTTTAGATTCAGCGGTGTGAAATAATCGTAATTCAGTTATAAAACATAGACAACTTCCAAAATATATTTTTTGTAACCCAGTGTTATTTTCTGTAGTTTGTTCAAATAAATCCTGCAGCGTCAACAGGGGGCGCTGATAGCTCATAAAACAACCTGTACGTGTTTCAACACAGACATAAAAGTCTACAGCATCTTATCTGAGGTCACCACTTGATGGAAAGGGTCACTAGTTGTTATATATGTGTGTGTGTGTGTGTGTCGGTTGGTGTACGCCACCACCTGGCGCCATTTACCTCCCTTAAGTTACCAAAGCCAGAACTCATTAACCATTTAATGACCGTGACATGACTCAGTTGGTCACAGTGGCACTGCCATGTCTGGAGCTCACCCAGTAACCCAGAACCCTTGTAAAGAACCCAGCACTTGCCTGCTTCAGGCTGGTGAGAAAGTGTTCAGGTTTGTTTCTGTTGGTGACGGCCAGCAGATTCTGAGCGGCTGCGTGTACATGTGGGCTGAGAACTGCAAAATCAATAAACTCTCCGCTCTCCTGATCTGTGACCCCTCTGCCACGCATACCGATGTTGCTGACTCACCTGATGACTCCTGGAAAAAAAAAAAAAAAATCAAATCAGCTTCCAGTTTTACTGTTTTCCTCTCATGGGTCACATTTCTTTCTTCATATAATTCCAGCGTGCATCACTTACGGCAGGAGACAGGCACAAAACGCTTAAATCCACCAAACACACAGTCAGATGAAAACAGTGGAATGGAGGCAGAATTAAAGCCTCAACATGTTGACTTTAGTGGGTATTAGCATGAAGGGGTGCAGGTGTGGTTTCTGTTAATACACAGATTACAATAGACAAGATTATTTTCATTGGAGGTTGATAAAGAAAACACTTAATCTTTATTAGCCGTGCTACATTTGTAACATGGGATTCCACTGCTGACGTCCCCTGATCCAGCTCTCATTGTGTCTGAGTCGGAGTGGACTGGCAGCACTGAAGGGGCAGAGTGAAAGATTGAAAGCATGGAGGGATGAAAGACGAAACAAGCCTGGTTTGGCTGCAGGGAGTTGGACGATTAGGTTGAAAAGCAAAGTCAGACGTGCCCCATGTGTGTATTAGCCGGGGCTTAACGTGGTTTTTTGCAGAGACAGTTTAATCCTTGGGACAAAGATAATGCACGCTGGTGGAGAGCTCTGTGTTCGCTCCAACATTCCTCTCTTCTAATCTTCTGCCCTCTTAAAAACAATACATGTTTTTATAAGTTTTTTTAAAGTCTTAGATAATGTGACTGGTAAGTGTAAGTTCAAACTAAATTTATAAAGAATTACTCTCTAATACCTGAGGTAAATAACTTTCTCAGTCAATGTTTTAAATCATGTCATTTCAATCTCATATGTTGATAACCTGAGTGAATATGAATAAGCTTATTTTATTAGGAGAAAAATATCTCCCAAAACCAGCCTGAATCTGCATACAACATCATAACAGAACTGTGCTTCATATTTATTTTGCAAGTTGTGTTAAATTTCACATCAAGTTACCTCTGTAAATGCCAACTATATGGGTGTTTTGAATTGGAGCAGCATTGTAATTCTTGCAGTAGAAACAAGAAAGAACTTAAACAGAACCTACCTGACAAAACAAAGTGAACAAAAAAGATCTCAAAAAGCAAAACTTCATGCCTTGATCTGAAGAGTCGGACTAACCAACATCAGTCCAAGATTCTTTCAGGCTGGCAAAGAGCGATCCAGGCACTTGCCTCAATTAAGGTCAGTGTTTTTGATTCTAGAATAAGAAAGAGGAAAACTACGGGAGAAATCCAAGGTCAAAACAAAAAGAACATAAATACCCATTTCACTTTTGCCCTAGTGCTAGTGCCTGTCTCACTCAGCGGTCAACGGGCGAGATGCGGGGTCACCATGTCCATCTCAGGGTTATCATTCATATAGTAATTTTTTTACATTTTAACACAGCCTCATTCCTTGATACAGGTTTGTGCACACATCCGCTAAAGTATATTAGCGGATGTGTGCACAAATAACACACATACTTTATTTAATCATCAAATAAAGTATATTTGATGATTATCAAATATTTGATAATCATCAATATTATTTTCATTTTAGGCTAGCGTCCATCTCCAGCGAGTGCCAGGGGACACTTTGTACAGGTCACTAGTTCATCACAGGACAAACAACCACGACACACTCAAATCTAGGGACAACTGGGTAATTATTAACTAATTAGCTTCACAGAGAATGTTTCTGGACTGTGAGAGGAAATGATGTAATCAGAGGGACATAAAAATAAATGTGCTACTGTAAAGAATAAGATAAAGAATAAGATAAAAATAAAATCAACACAATTAAATAACATACTGGATAAACCTACTTTGTATTCATTTATGAAATAAAATCCAGTGAGAAACACAGATTTTTGTAGATGTGACTCAACAAAATATAAGATTGTTGATGCATGGATATGTTAGCTAGATCATTCTTCTTTAAGCTTCTACTAATGACATGCTGACACTTCTTACAGTTGAAAATGACCCTGACCTTGAAGACTGTAACAAAAAACATCTCATGGTTACTGGAATCCAATGAAGGATGGATCTCTAATTAATTGCAGTCCATATCAATAGGCCATTATCTGCCATGACCTAAGGAGGGGGATATGGAGCTCTGTCTGTCACGAGTTTGCATTTATTAAATAATCCAACCTCTATACAGGCTTAACTCTTGGCCTTCACTGTTAATGCGCAATCATGGCTCAATCAAGACCAGGAAGTATGAGCAGGGTCAGGGAAGGTCAACGCTGGACTGTTAGAGGGAGGGAGGAGTGAAACGTTCTGATGTTGCCTTTGGGTTTAGAGAGAAAAGGTTAAGTTAAGATAGGGATTTGTTCATTTGAAACAGAAATCGATGCTAGTCAAAAAAAGAAAAACATTTAAATCATAGCTTTATTACCCTTACAAGGTTTATTATACATCATGTAGGAACATGTACCTTCAATACTTCTTAGAGACAGAACAAAATGATATGCACACATACTGTACAACAATCAGTGTTAAACACGGTAGAGACCGTGATGGAGGAGACAGCAGTCCTTCTGTAACGGGGAGAAGGTCTTGTCCTTTTTCTCCTCCATCGTTCTGTTCTTTTACCGTGATCTTTTGAGAACAGCCAGAGGCCAAACAACCATCCACGCTCCGTATTGCTTTATTGTCTTTATCTACAAAATGGCAGTGATTTGTCAAAATTGAAAAAAAAAAAGGTTGTTCAACTGGTTTATAATGGTCTTTCCATTGGAACGTGTTTCATTAAAGAGGCTCATCAGTCATATACAAAAATATAGTACAGCAATTTTTTTCTCATCAGAGCAAACATTCATACCTGTCCATGTTCATGTCAGAACACACTGGCAGCCAGACCCAAGAAACTGCTACATGAAGCAATCGTTAACATAACATTGATCATTAGAGTGGTTTACAAGCTTATGCCCATTTGTGATCAGTTTAGTGAAACTACAGCAATCCCCTCTGAAAAGTATTCACACCCTCTGGACTTTTCCTACATTTTGTCTCATTACAATTGGAAAGATTGGTGTAGTTAACAGGAATTTTATGTTGAAGACCAGCACAAGGTAGTATACGTTCATGAAGCTGAATGAAAGTAATACATGCTTTTTAAAGCTACAGAAGGGAGTTCTGAGAAAACCGGGGAAAATTTGAACAAGCACACCTTGCTGGCTCCTCCCCCTGCCTCCAAAGCTCCTCCCCCACAGTGGAGCCAGCTGAGAACTCGAGGAATTAGGAGTAAATTCCTTGAGTTATATTCTTTCTCCACCATTAGCACTGCCGCAGCAGCACACCGGCAATCGTGAGCTTGAACAATGTTTAGTGTGACTGATACTGCTAAAGACCCTCCTCCTGGTTCTGATTGGTTGTTTCTGACTGGGAGTGCTGTATTTCTGCAAATGGCGGTTGGACCACAAGGAGGAAATGGAGGAGCTTGATTTTTTTCACAGATTACCCATCTCATATTCTACTGTCAGAACATAGTGACAGTTATAACGTTTAAAAAAAAATCTACCTAAAAAAAGTTACCTCAAATGTTGCCCAAATAAAATCTGACATATATTTCTATTCAGCCCACTTGTTGCATTTGAAAGTCAATTTTGTGACTTTGTAAATTAGATGTGTCTTTAAAGTAGCACAAACAAAATGATTGTTTCCCTCTTGAAGGGAAGGTAGCAAACATATGGTCAGATGAGACCAAAATTGAGTTTTCTAGATGACACGGGACACTAACACTACTTGTCACCCTGAACACACCACCCTCTGGTGAAACATGGTCATGGCAGTGTCATGCTATAGGGATGTTTTTCCTTCAGGAAAAAGAGGGTAACTGGTCATATTTGATGGGAATCAATCAGTGGATCTAAATACAGTACAATCAGGTGATTCAGGTCAAGGTTCACCTTCCAACAGCGACTGAACATATAGGCGGAGCATAGTGGGACAGTCCAGTGGAGTTGTAATGTGACAAAAGGTGAAAGAATCCAGTAGGCTGTGTACTTTTGCAAGGCTCACCTAATTAAAAACAATACATCCTGAGGACAGTCATTCCTTCCTTGAAGAAAACAATCAAGAATGTTTTGAAGAACACAAGTTTGAATTATTAACCACCTGCAGACTGTCAAGAGCTCATTCAAATACACCATCTAGTGTTTTAAATGGTAACTTATGTCTTTGTCTTCCTTCTTTCTTAGAGGGCATCCACGTTCGTTCAAGTGTGACAACTGTAGTTGTTTCTCTGATATATGATTAACTAACCCAGGAACCATCTGGGTGTTTCACACAGGCAACCTTTTGGTTTTTTGCGCCCCCCTAACTTCCAGGCATGTGAAAGCTCTTTGACCAAGGGTAAGTATACAAATAAAGCATCCAGTGAAATGCACACAGCAGGGTCTTTACACAGCCTGCTTGTTCCTCCTCCATGGTTCATCCCAGCAGGATGCAGTGTCTCGCATTGTGTTCATGGAGGAAAGAGAGGCTTAAACAACACAAATACATGTCCATTTCCTGCATATTCACATTACAGAGTGCGGCGGCAAAAAAGAAGAAGATTGTTTTGCTGAAGCAAAGCAATGGAGGAGAGGAGACGTTTGTGTAGTGGACACTGAGATGTGCTTCTTCGCCAGGACAGCTTTAGTCAGCTGGAACTCCTTGAGACAGGGTTCCTCTGTCCTGTAAAAGTCTGGGACTGTGCTCGTTGAGAGTTTGTGGTAGGAGCCCAGCAGGTTCGCACTGCGTCACGTTGAGGTTTCCGAAAGGATTCCGATCAGTCTGAGCTCTGAAGAAGTCCCTGGTGTCCTTGGCATGCAGCATCCAGTGTTTGGCAAGTTATACACAGTAGCTCCCTGCTCTCTGAGTCTGTCTCTCAGTTGTTGATAGGCCCCACTTCCTCCCTTCCTGTTTCAGGTGCAACATTCACGCTCCATGCGGCAGAGGAGCGGGGAATGGGAGGGCAGGGACGAGGAGGTGCAGGGCTCGGAGGAGGAGTCCAAGGAAGATGACGTGGAGGTGAGGAGGGAGGGGTACGGGCTCATCTTCTCGATGTTGACGTATGTCGTGTTGAGGAGGACGTAGTGCTCCCCGCTGAAGCTGGAGAAGATGGCGGCGATGCGGGACACCAGCTCGGAGAAGGAAGGTCGACGCTCAGGCTTGGGATGCCAGCACTCGATCATCACCGTGTAGCTGAGGGAGGAGACGAGAGACAATGTTCAGTATTTATTTCTATTTCACTAATGCAGTATCATATGTTATGAGGAAATAATTTGTGGTTTTTTGCTCAATCCTTCTTAAATATGCAGTTGCTGCCATCAAAACCTCAACTACATGTTTGGATATTTGGATCTCCTTGTTCTTAATTGTTAGTCTTTGTCTCATTGGAACTTTTGTAACTCTCAGGAAACTCTCTCCCTTTTACATCAACTAAACCTTGTTGACTCTACTTTATTGAGCCATTATTGAATCAGTTTTATCTTTCTGCTTGGTGCCCCAGTTTGTTATTTTAACTGTCTGAACCGAATAGTTAAAATACTTCAGTGAGTTGACAGGTGAGATCCAGATAAGCCCAGAATCCTTGTACTTCAGACAGGTGCAGAGGTTATCCACATTCATCTTAATAGATGTGTCTCATCCTCTGCACTGTGAGTTCAGGCTCCGCCTGGATGTTTGACAGGTAGAAAAACTGTTTTGTTCCTGTTTCCATAAGCTTCTAAAATTAGTAGAATGAGAGTTAAAAGTTGCAGGAAACTGTATCTACAGCTGTACAATATGGAGTCTGTACAACGTTTGCCTTCATTGAAATTTCACTTTCTGCCTTTCATCTGACATTACACCATGTTTGCACATTGTCAAAATCACGTGACTGAAACCTGTTTTAGCATTAACTTCCCTTAAATACCATTACCATTGTGCTTTATGGTGCATTCGCAACCAAATGCGTTACGCGTGTCAAAAATGTGTCAGACGTTCAAATTCGACAGGTGTGCACTTTGAATGCAGACGCTTGACATTTTGTTCTACACCTAGCGTTTCATGCGTCAAGTGCGTGTGGTTTACATTCAAAGTCTATCTGAAGGCACGTCAGAATCGCTCTAGCCATTTTCTGTTGCCGGCGTATTTGTCGGGCGTGTCGGATGCGTTGGATGCTCTCGACGCATCAAACACATCAAAAGGTTCAAATCGCGCCTCACTAGATGCGTGAAAAGCGCCGTGATGGGCCCTCGATGTGCCTCCATGTAGACTTTGAATCTAAACCAGACTGACGCTCAAAATGCATTTGGTGTGAACACACCATTATAGTTAGTGGAACTAATGTTTGTGATTAGTTCTTTAAGGTTAGCATAGCTAGCTTTTTAATTAGCGGCACCCACCACTGCACTTACATGAGCAGATAGACCGGAGCTCAGTTACTTCATTCCACAGCAAAACTCCTCAGTCTGCCATAAATTAAAATCTGTTCATATTTCTCCTTTGATCAGCCAGAATATAGTGTAACAAAACAAAACTAAGAACCTCATTAACACATTTGTTCAAGTTACAAGCTGGTTCCTGCTGCTACCTGAGGCCCTCTGAGAACCATCAGCAGGGGAAAATTGCAGGAATGTCTGCAGACATACATCATCCCCTGATGTGCACTTTTGGGCCTCTGCTTTACTCCCACATGAACACTCCCATCTTCTACCCAGTTTCACTCATACACACATGCGTGCATGCATGCATGCGCACACACACACACACACACACACACACACACACACACACACACACACACACACACACACACACACACACACACACACACACACACACTCGCATACTGACAGCATGGCTCATAATGTTATCAGCTGTCAGATTATTGTTGCTGTTGGTTTTATAATGCCAGGTTGTAATGGGTGCTCTTATTTTTACTTTTCCCAGGATATAAGTTGCTCTTGAGATATTAAACATCACATGATGTTTGAATCTGTCTCATAAAGTGCTGTACTGTATGTGGATTAGTCCGCTGAAGTAAAATTATATTTAAGCACCATGTTTAAGATACTTAACCACTGGTTAACCGCATCTGGCTAACCAGTTAGCTGCTAGTTGATCACAAATGGCTAACTGCTAGCTGCAGTGTTCTCTTGGAGCTAAATTAAAGGGGTATTTCACAGGTTTTTATGAGTCAACATGAACTAGAGTTTTTATTGCATCTATTTCAGAAGTGGTAGTGAATATGCAGTAAACAGTAGATATCGCCAGTGGAAGAACTTTTCTCTTTCAACATGTATGTTGCCTACTGTATGTATTGGTATGTAGTGAAAAATGACATATGGAAATGTTTAATTTGCATGAATCTGATATTTTGTACTGATATGTATTTGTACTTACTTGCCCATAACTCTATATATTTTTGAATGTCTAATTACATAACTTTTCACAAATTAAATTAGATGTGGTGACAAAACACTTAACTCAGTACAGGGGTAGATTTTGTTTTGCCAAATATCTATTTTTACTCTTGCTTAAATATTTTTTCAGTTGCCTAGTTTTTACTTTAAAGGTAATAAAATATACTGAAGTAGTGCCAGTTTGACTTGAGGACATATTTTGGCTACTCTACCACCACTGGTCTAGTTCAGAGTCTAAAAAGTCACAGAAGTTAGATTGAGACAAGCACAAAACCTGAAATATTATTCTCCAACTTTCTACAAGACCAATTACAAATTCTTTAAAATCTGGAAAATGTTTACTGTATCTATGAGAACAATTAAAAGAGGACTCTTAAGATTCTCAAAAATAAGATTAAATCTTATTTTCTGCTGTCAATCCAGCATTGCATCTGGTGTCGTGAGAAGGCGCTCGTATTTGCATACAGCAATTTTCCTTGTCATCTTCTCAGTACATTTTGCCTGAAACATTCTTACTGAACATGTCTAAATAAGCTGGAGCAGCATGAGCTGGAAGCAGTGCCAGAGGCTGATCTGTGGGAACAACCACAGAAATGAGGATCTATCAAAAACCACAGGATAAGCAGAAAATAAATGCCATACTTTGATGTGATTTCTATTTATACTTAAAAGTAAAAAAAAAGTTTTCCATGTGACCAAAACAGCTGATGTGACGTAACCCACATTTGAGTCTCCAGCAGACAATGATGGATGACCTGAGTGTGATTTATGACTGCAGAAGTTTATACAGTTAATCCAATGTGGCTGATTCTCCCTTCAAATTGCAGCAACCTTTCATGATGTACTGAAAGCACAGCTTTACCATATATTACTTATGCCAGCCGAGCCGTGTGAATGACGTGAACAGAACCTGTGAACCTGTGCGAACTCACAGAGCATCGGGGCAGAACTCGGGCTGCAGCAGCCGCCTGCCCTGCAGGAGGAACACGGTGATATCGAAGGAGTTCACGTCGGAGTACGGCGGGGCCCCACGGGTCATCAGCTCCCACAGCAGAACTCCAAACGACCACTGGAAGAAAAGTGGGAATATTAGCTTCCAATAGCACATCTTTGTTGCAGTTAAAAAAAAAAAAATCACAATCACAAACAGGCCTGTCACGATTGATTTTGCTGGACAATAAATTCTATTGATTTATTGTGATAAAATGATAATATTGTTGCTTTGAGACCATTTTTAAGTAGAAAATAGAACAGATAATGGCATAAGACTGCCCTCATGCTATTAATGCTAGTTATGTTATCTTAGATATTAATGAGTCTACAAGAGTTTTCCTGGTCAAAAACCAGTAAACTTTAATTTTGTAGAGCACTTAACTGGAAGATATTTTCAATATCCAATGGAAATTATTCAGCATATTTTAATTCTTCATGCGATTAACAGATTAATTGCTTATTGTGAAAGGCTTAATCAAAAGAGAACGGCTTTCCCCCAGTGTATTATAAGCCTGGCGGGTCATCAGGCTTTACTTGTGCCCCCACCAGGCTAAGCATTGCTTATTTCTTTAAGTCTTTTTAAAATGTTTGCATTTTTTGAGATTTTATAGTTGGTGTTCAGATATTAATCTTTCAATCTTTTAGTAAGACATGACTATCAAGTGATATTTTCAAATTTCCTGTCAACTTTAAACATTTCTTAACTCACAAACACGACGGGTCGCTGCCTGAATGACTGCTGAGCGCCCAACCCCCGGGCTTAGCGTGTTCTGGGGGAAACCCTTGTGCAACTTTGCATGCCTCAGCTGATTCTTTCAGATACTACACAAATTAACCACAACATTAAGCATCCTCTTACAATACTATATGTCAAATCTCTCAACATAAAGGTAGAGTTCTTCTTTAAAGGTAAGCCGTGTGACACCTTTACATTTTAAAGAGATTAGAGTAATTATGGCGTTCTCACCACGTCTGACTTGGTAGTGAACTTGTGTGTCTGGAGACTCTCCAGGGCCATCCATTTGACGGGCAGCTTGACGCCGCTCTTATTGTGGACGCTGTAGTATTCTTTGTCGTAAACGTCTCTAGCGAGGCCGAAGTCTGCCACCTTTACCGTGTAGCTCTCATCCAACCTGGCAGGGAAAACAGGCCGTTACCTTCTGTGGTGGGATGCTCGGTTACCTTTGGCTCACTGCCTTGAGCTTTATGTTCCTTCTCTTCCACACGTACAAGAACCAACAGAACACATCATAGACATATTGAGGAACAAAAAGGCCATTTTCTGAATTGTTGAATTAAAACGTGCTTTTATGTACAAAAACTGTTATTTTAATCTACAAAACTGGAAGATCTGTGGTCTGACAGGCTGCTGCTTGCACATGGCACATGCAAAACAGAGTTTGTATATCATTTGTGATGCTAAGCTAATAGTGTCTCTTTGCAGTGACAGAGTTAGCACATATGTTAACATACAACGACCTATAATAAGGTTAAAATATGCAACTACAATGAAAAATGTACCCATGTGTAGGTACATTTATGAATGTACCTAAACATTCCTGTAGATAAAAATCAGATTGTCAGATTGTTAATATTTTGTTAAGAGCAGTACCATTTGTGACGTGAAACATTTACTGTCTCCTGAAAGCTGGTTATAACTGTGTTGTAGTAACTGGCTTTACAAAAGGAGGAGCAGAATAATAAGAGTAATAATAATAATCCATCCTCTGTTTTGGTAGACATGTCTGACAAGCCACACTATTTCTTTATGAAAAGTTACAAATAATGAAAAAAAAAAAAAAACAGTGTTCGTTCTTGGCAATCTGGCAATATTTTGCCACACACATTGACTGAAATTGCAGGGATAAATTAATTTAGATATTTCTGAATTATTCTGCATACAAAAATAAAACATTTTACAAATTTTGCAAGTTTTTGTGAACTTTAAACTCTGTTATCGTGACCATAAGTGGGAATAAAAAATGATGAATGTCATGACCATCTCTAGTTCTTCATTCTACTGTCTTCATTACATTGTAATGAATAACACTGCAGGCAAAACAAAAGAAAATAAAGTTTTTCAGAAGTCAGGAGAGTTTGAATACACAAAAAAGTGTGAGGATAGTTTTAAGCTGTTATCCAAGAAAAATTCTAAGTGTTTTGTTACAGTGCTTTCAACATTTCTATAGACATTTTTTTTCTGTTTTATTTTATCATGTGTAGTTGGATAAAATGCTTGACTGGTGTAAAATAATCCAAACGAGCTCACATGCAGTTTCTGGCAGCCAGGTCACGGTGGACAAACTTCTTGCTGGCGAGGTACTCCATCCCCCTGGCAACCTGCAGTCCGAAGCCCATCAGGTCCTTCACTGTGGGATTCTGTGAGACAATCACATTTACTGATTTATCCATCATCAAACCAATGCGACGCCTAAACAGATGGCGTAAGAGTACAGGGCTTTTGCTGCACCCTCTTACATGCACTTCGTCACGGATGAAGTTGCGCAGGTCACCATGCTTCATGTATGGCAGGACCACCAGCGGTGAACCCTCAGGCGGAAGGCAGATGCCCAGCAGAGAGAGAACATTGGTGTGGCTGAAGTCCTTCATAATGATACCCTCCTTCAGAAACTGGGAAACCTCTTCCAAGTCTGTAATTCCTGTAGATAAAAAATAACACTGATTAAATAATACTGAAATAATTCTTGATTAGATTTAATAGAAAGTGGAAAACACATAGAATAGCTGTCATTCTTCCCAGAATTAGACATTCCAGTAAGTTTGCCCCAAGATAAGACCCTGTAATGCTCAGAGAAACACAAATAACCTACAAACTCGTAAAATGTTAAAATAGGAGGAGGCTCGGAAAGTGTTCTGGATTCTAGAATAGCAGTGTACATGGTAGCAGCTTATGGCATTATTTTAAAACTTTTCTTCCATTTCTCTGGTTGAAAATCAATCTTGATTTTGTCAGTTTATAAACCCCCAAAGAATCATGTAGGAAGACTAAGACATTATGCTGCGCTGCTTTCAGGTTACGGATTGGGATCTACTGTGCCAGCCACAATGCCATTCCATAAAGCTCTATGTGTCCTGTTTTTTGGTTAATTTGAAGGCCACATAATATTTGGAGGTCTGTAGCTGTTGACTCTGAAAAAAGTTGGGAACCTCAATACCCATTGCCTTTACTGTGTACTTTTATGTGACTTATAATATTGTGGCCAAACTGCTGCCATTGCCATTCACTTCTATTTTGTTGAAACATCCTAATTATTGACTGTAAAATATTTAGTATTTTATTTAGTAAGGAAATTTCCAGATTGGGCTTATTGCAGCAGGGGTCTCCTGTCACTCTAATAACATGGAATGCATTGAGGGTCATGATAGGGTACATATTAGTAACCTAGGTAAGAAACATGATTTTGTAAATTATGATAATTTAATGCAAAGTTGCCACTTTTTATGGACTTTCTATGCAACTTTTAAAGCAACTTTGCATTAAGAGTGTCATTATTTACCGAATGACACTTCATGACAACTGTCATAAACATTCATAAAGACTTTATGTTCATGACAGGTGTTATGTCATGTTTTTAACAAAGTGTTACCGAGGCTTTTAAGGCAGATGATTAGCTTCACCTAAGGGTCAGACTTCAAAGACAGATAGAGATGAGCTGGCAAAGCTGCGTAAAAAACATATTTTCTAAATTGGTCCTCTTTCTACTCAGTTTAATCATCACAAAGCACTAGCTTACGATCAAAGCATCCTCTCGAGGATTTAAAAGAAACAAAAGCCAAAACTGACATTGACTAGTGGCAAAATGAACAAAACAAACAAAAAAAAAAAAACGTTTAAATCCCCACAGACCAAACCAAGGCAGTCTGAGCTGAGGAGTCCCCTAGTACCAAGAGGCTTCCTCTGAGTGGATGGGTGATTCCTCCACATTGTTTCAGCATCAATCTGCTCGCTCCAGCTGACAGGTTACAAGATTAGCCGGGACCCTAATGTGGTCCTCACCACTGGATGCTCATTCATCACCATTAGGCTGAGCTGAAAGGGGCTGTGGGCTGTGATGGGAAGAGAGCCGTAATCTCACTGTGATATCATACAGTAAGGATGTAGTACAGTGTAGACAGACAAACCGTGCGTGTTTAGACAAGAGCACGGAGTTGTTTCTGTTGTAACCAAGGATGCATCAGTCATCAGAAGCAACTAATTATTACAACTAAACCCAGCACTGTACAAAAAGACAAATGATCTTCTTTTCCAATTCTATCAGGCTAAATGCTATCAGTTTTACATCCCAAATTAATGTTTGTAACTTTAGCTCTCAAAAACCATTTCCATTTATAACCTGACTGTAATCATGTAAAATCTATTGTGAAATGTGGTAAACATGAAAAATGTTGGTAATCCCATCTGACCAGAACTAACTAAAAGGGTTAACTTGGATGTTTTTGAAGCGAGTTTATATGACATAATTTTTGCTAATACTTCCCTTTTACTCTAGGTGAAAGAATTAAGTCTGAGACGTTGTAAGAAAAGTCATTACATTCTCAAAGTTGATGGATCGACCGATGGTGCGATTATTTTCTTCCAACAACTATAGAACCTAGAAAGCAGAAACATGCCATATCTGATGTTGCTGCAGATCTCACAACAAAATCCAAACATCCATGTCCGTCTTGGCAGAGCTGTAGAGAAATGCAGCTGTTCTGGTGGATTGCTGCAGACGGCAGAGTCAATCAAAGCAGCTTCACATAGTTTTGTTCAAACTAAATTGTATACAGTTAATACAGACTAGTATCACATTGTTTCCCACTGACACAAACATTTTCAGACTTGAAATGCCTGAACTAGCTAAAGTCAAGTGAAACATGAAGTGCACACCTGACTACCTGTCAGACATCCACAACTTTAAGGATAAAAAAAAGGAAAAAAACAACAACAAAAAACTTATTTTAATTTCATACATTTAAAAATGTGTTGTTTTAATTAAGTGAATGTAAAAATTAGAGATGCACTGATCCAATATTAATATCTGTGTCTGTTCCATTATTGGAAAAAAAAAAATTCCAGATCGGATATCGTGACAATGTCCCCAATTCATAAGGGCAGATCTATATAGTCTAATTCTATGCTGTGTGCTACTTTATTATTTATTTTACATTATATCTAGAATTCCTAACTGCATTTTCTGAACCATTTGAAAAAAAGTTTGTTACGATTGATTTTTTACGTGTTTGACCAACGTAGTCAATCTGTTGTTTTTGTCAATTTATTTATTATTTATTTTACATCGACTGTTCTACTCCTAACTGCACTGACTGAACAAATTATAGTCGTTTCTCTGCATTGGATCGATATTGACCGCTACTAAACCTCAGATATCTGTATCGGTGTCTGATACAGATATCGTTTTGAATTGGAGTCACCAATTCAAAAAGTGATCCTGAAATATTGTCGTTTTACACAGTCACCAATATGGGTACTAAGAACTGCAAAAACAAGCCCACATCATTAGTCAATAATTGAAGTGTTGGCTGGTTTTGCATTTCAAATGTTTATATCAGCGTTGGAGATCATAGATTTCTCAGGACATACATTGATATATATATATCTACAAACAGGATAAGATTTATGCATATCACAAGATGGATTTATCTACAAAAAAATGCTAAAGATAAAAACCTAATCCTCTCCGCCTCCCAGGAATTCCTAAAACCTTTACCTCTGCTCTGCACAACTTGTTCCATCATCCCCTTTTCCTGATAAAGAAACAAATGCTAACAAAGCTTTTACTCACGATTTAGCGACTTGATAGCACAATGCTGTTTCTGCCCATCTTGTTCCAGCAGCGTTCCATGGAAAACACAGCCAAAGTGTCCTGCAGGTTACAACATGATGTACATTAGTCAGTTCAGTCAGCATCAATAGTTTAAAACGCTCCTGTTCAAACCTGTGGATGCTAACATGTTTTTAGCCTAGACAAGGTTCACATGGTGATACCACAGTTATTTAAATACAACGAGCTTCATGTATGAGGTAATGTGAAGAAGGCATTGTTGTCATTGAAACACCAATAGAACACCTAGAAAATATGAGCTCACACATCCACTTAGTGTGTAAAACTAAAATTTGCTGCTTATCTTTGAGGATCTACTTTGTGGTTGAGAATTAATTTTCTCTAATATGTATTTACATGCGTTATAGTCAGAATTTAAATGTTTGTGTCAGTAGTAGCTGTGTTTCAATCACAAATGTCCAAAAACTTTCTCAATATTCCACTAATGTTGAGAATTTTGCAACAAATGCAATTAACATCACACAGGAACAAGTTTAAGTTGTTAAAAAACATCCTCCAACTACTTCTTGTCGTCTTCTTCACAGTTTCCAGGAGCGGTAACATCCGGTTGTCGATCGTCTGATTTGTGTGATGCAAATAAAAGTGTTTTCATTGCAGTTTTGCCAAATAAATCAATTTTGATACGGGCAAAAAAAATCCCCACCTCATCCTAGCAGCAAAACTTTTGATCAAAAAACAACTTTTTTTTTATTATAAATTAATGTGTTTCCATTAAGCTAATTTATTTTCTAAATTTCAACTAGTGCCTTTTTATGGTCAATGGGAAGACAGCTTGTGTGGGTGTGTGACAAGGATCTTCAGGTTTAATTTTTCTGTCTTTTAATCATGGTCCACCCAAAGACTGGGTTTGGAAATTAGTGGCTGGAAAACCTATGTACAAAACATCCAACATTGTTTTACGCGTTGATCTCGATGAAATAGTTTAGCTTAATTGCAGCCCTCCCCCTCCTCCACTCTCCATATTGTGTAACAATCATCTCACTGATCCGTAAGGGAAAAAAAGTGTTTCATCCTAAACAGCAAACTTTCTTGAGTTGCCACTGCACTAAATCAGTCCCTTCCAAGTAACCCAATCTGAGGCTTTATTCATTAACATCCCACACAGCCTAATAACCAGCGTCAAGCCCCCCTGAATTATTATGTGTTTTATTGAATTATATCTCCTAGTTAAGACGGGGGGTCTCGGTCCAGCCTGAGAAGGGTGCAGGAGCGAAATGAGCGCGGCGCTCTGCTATCACGTCCCTGCAGATGGCTGGCAGTGTTGGGTTACGGCTCTCCACAATGGACCCTGGGAACATTAGCTGAGAACAAATCATCCTACGCCACTTTGAAGCACTCGAGCAGCCACCAAATCCAGGCTTCAGGGGATAAATTCATATGAGGGGGGCCAACATGCCGCTTTTCTGGAACATTACAGTGCTAAGGGTTTTTCTCAGTTTAATGCTAAATTCGATCTGTTGGGCTAAACCGCCTACCTCCATGTGGTAAAACGGGCTGATCTGGTGTCTGCATGTCAAGTTTGAAGTTTTATAAAGCAAGCATTTTAACTTAACGTAAATCTGATGCAGTAAAAGCACACAAGCATGAAGGGTGGATTAACTCTCGGCTGTTATCTGTTGTAATTATTTCTGAAGTTATGGAATCAGGTTGGATTTACTGCAGAAGGTACAGATGATAAACGGATTATCAAGTCGTGGGAAACAGCTATGTAAACACGAAAATCGCCGTGTTTACATTGAGTGAATTTGTTTTCGTAATTTCAATTTGTGTAATTTTATTTTCGATGGAAATGCAAGCAGAGACCTGTTGAAACATGTAAAATTTTTACTTAAAAATAAACAAAGGCACTGAGGTGTAGGAGGCTGCACAAGAGGAAGCTACCTTCCTGTTAGCATCACTGTTCTGAAAGAATCACCAGCAGAAATTCTCTCGCATATGAATATAGTATCACAGCACAAGACTTCCAGAACAATATTATTTGAAAAGATAAGATCAAAGTAGAGGTGTTTGGTCATAATGCACATCCATGTTGAAACACTGCATGCTGGCAGAGATGCATGATGGTAGACAGGGGAGGTGATGAGGGCTTGTTGTGACATCAAAGGACCAGTGGACTTTGTAGCATAGGGGCGACTGGTATATGTTTGACTCCAGATATCATTTGACAACCTGACTTAGATGAGATAATTTTTATATAAACCTTCGATCAAAACCCGACATCCCACCAGTTGATCACTGACCTCTGCCGATGATCTGGTTGACATGAAGCAGCAGTTGCTCCCTTGCGATCACCACATGCTGCACCTCAGTCAGCAGGTCCGGGTGGAGACAGGACGGGTCGATGTGGACTGGAGCCATCAACAGGGGGGACACCAGGTCACCTTCCATGCCCAGCCCCAGCCCCCCTCCAAGGGTTCCCAGTCTGGGAGACAGCAGCTCCCCATTGGCTCTGTACATAGGAGGAGCTGCCCGACATGTCTCAGGCCTGTCGACACCCTGATCTGGAGAGGCAGAAACAAAAAAAGAGAAGCAGGGGGTCAGAGGTCGGCCGCTTAGTCACAACACCTTGACCTCCGCATGTCAAGGTGTGTTACGTGATTGGAGATGGACAGCTACACAGACACAGAGCTGGAAGGAAAAAGCTTGAGGTTTTCTACTCTGTTAGAAGGCTAATAAATGCAGAAGTTCCTCCAGAAAAGTCAGAACAAGAACCAGAGCTGAAACAGAGAGCGAGGTCAAATGTCCTGAATGTTAACTGTCCCAGAAGGCAAACATTAGCTCATTAGTAAACCCAGGCTCTCCAGACTCAAGGCCAGCACAGAAATCGCTTCAGCTATGATCCAGGGGATCATAATACCAGGAGCCTCTCAGTGGCCCTCAGGGCCAGAACAGAACCCACAAGAGGCGCCACAGACCACATCAAAGATTACTGACGCATGCTAGATGAGAATATGTGCATCATGTTTTTATTAGACTTTATATCTATAGTTTTTAGTTTCCGAATACCTA